CCCCAGCAAGTACATCCTCTAGAGAGCAAACTTTGCCTACCTTTACTGACCCTTTCCTGTGCTCTGTCTGAGAGCAGTTCCTGAGTGATCACCTCCCCTTACACTCATAAGGTCTGGTCCCTAAACACTCCAGGGGCAGGAATCAGAAAAGGGGGTGTGCATTTTGGATTTACTATGTGAAAGGGATCTGAGGCGTCCAGAGGTGGAAGCACCCACTGAGTCTGAGATGGAGGTTGGATATATCAGAGATGGCTTAACACCATACTCGATGTTCATGTTTTTATTTTTTTAATTTTTAATGAAAGTAAAGTATATTTCCTTTTGAGTATAGCTTTAACTCTAGCCCATAGATTTTTGGATATTTATTGCTCTTTGAGTTTCTTTAATTTCTATTAAGAATGTACATTTTTAATGTCTCAATACTATTGCCATCAGTATTCCTTCTTTTATGAATTTTCTCTTCTCATTCTTATCCCATTTTTTCTACTTATTCATCATTTCCTTATTGATTTATCTGTTACATACTTTGCAAATAAATCAGCATTTTAATATTATGTCGTTTTACTTTTTGGTAGAAAAGTTTTATGTATTTTTTGCATAGTCAAATGTATCGATATTATTGTTTTGGGTTTTCTTCTCAGATATCATTCTTAGATAGCTTTTCTCCTCTCCAAGACTACATAATCATTACTTATATTTTCTTCTGATTTTGAATTGTATATGTAACTAAAAGAATCTGATTTTCTTTTTCCTCTAAATATTTAACCATTTAACCGAGCATTATTAAGTGAACAATTCATTGTTTCCCTATAATCTCAGTAATCTATTTTTATCTTGCATATATACATACTTGGGCCTGTTTTCGGCAGCTTTTACATCATTCTGTCTATTCTCGTGTCAGTCATACATTATTGTAATTACGTTAATTTTATAAAACTCTTTAATATAAGGTGACCAAGTCCATTCTCATTACACTTTTCAATATACTCTTTCCAACGGTTCTAAGATTATTATTCTTTCATAAGACCTCTTGATAAGGTCTTCACAGCCTCACTCTTTTTTGGGACTGAGTGTTTGTAGAATTCACATCCCTCTCATCCTCTTCCTATCCTGACAAGCCCTCTGTAGCCAGGGGCCAGGCATCCCTGGCGTGTTCAAAACCCAGTATCTGTTGTACTCTCCCCTTCCTGCTCTGATCCAGCCTTCTGGTAACATGATGCATTTGCTTGGCCTAAAGTTACCATTTGACCTTTCAACCCTGGCCTGGCTCCAGCCACTTATACCTGAAATGAAGTATTCAGGGAATTAATAAAAGTGCAGAGAGCCTGGCAGTATCACAGAGCTATTTCCTCAGATCAAAGGGTCTATAAATATCTTGAAAACACTTTATTCAGCTCTACAAACAGACTTAAGAATTAAGAATTTCATTCATTCCACTCTTTCATTTTTTCACTCTGTCTACTTACTAAATAAATATGAAAAGTACCATTTTGCTCAGATAGGGTCCTCATGAGTCCCTCTGTGGTTTAAAGTTGTTTGAGCCAGAGAGTCTGAGAGAGACTATATTAAATAAATGGAAGTCAAGTAAGTTAATATTCAAAATGTGTCCAGTAAGGATGGGCTATGTGTGCTGCAGTAACAACCCCCAAATCTCATTCAAGGTCCAAGTAGATCCATTCAAGTGAATCTCCCAAGACAGTTGTTTTCCATGCATTTGCTCAGGTTTCCAGAACACAGGATTGTACAATAACTTTGTATCCACCAATGATTCTGCTATCGCCATGGCTGCAAAAAATAGGCATTTAAGAAATGCACGCTGGCCCTCATCCACTTCCACCCAGAAGTGACACAGGTCACAGGCTTGCCTTCATAAGGTCTCTCTTAATGAAATATTGATGAAAAACAGTAAAATATACCACAAGGTACCTGCTTTTAGCCACACAGAGGCCTAATAGTCACAATTAGATTAAACAATAATGAGCGTCATGGTCTCTAATTAGCTTGGTGTTGAGCGCCTATATTGTGTGCAGGAACACAATTCTATCGCTTATCTCTAACGTTAAGAACATTTAAGCCTGGCATATCTATGAGAGCATGACCAGCCATTTCTATCTGTACGTTCAGTGCCTGGATAAATATTTGACTTAGAAATTAATATTTTGTTCCCCCTAATAGGTACCTGGTTTCTTGGCTCTAGTATATATATAAAACATAGGTAATTTGAAAAGGTCAAGCACACATTAAACTTGAATTAAGGACATCTGGAAAGTAAGAAGGACTGAGAATGCTCTGAATTTAGGCAACTCAGTTGTCAGTGTTTTATATTGAAGGAATTTAGAAGAAAGATAGGATCTTTAAAAAGCAAACATCAGCAGGCTCGTCACTGTCTGTTCATTATGGGATGCGGGCTGGTTTAGCAGCAGGAGAGTTGAGATCCAAGAGGTGATTCAAGGATATACTATTAAATTGAACAGGGGTTCTCCATGAAATTGCTATGATTGTCACCTTCTAGACATGGAAGGATTCCACTCTGTTCCAATGATGTAACCTGGCATTGTAAGAATCATAACATCTCCTGAGAATGTAAAAGTCACATAGTCATGGCTTCACTTGGCTAGGCCACTAACTAGAGGCCATCACTACTATGGTTGGAATGAGGCTAATACTGTTTAAAATTTGTGTTGACTTTGGCCCATGAATGTTAGTGCAGGAAAGGTCTCTGTACTCAAGAATGGCTTAAGACCTGAATTGTCTGAAATACTTGCCTCAGTCTTCTGCTTTAGTAGGACTATGTCTACAAAGCACAAATGACTCTCCTCACTTGTTTCTGTGCTGGAGAGCAAACCAGACTCCAATGTGCCGGTGGGTCAGAAGCTTCTTCCTGGGGCTTGGAGTCTCAATATCCTTGGTCTTCAATACCACAGGAGATTTTTTCCTTCCTACTGAGCTACATAGTCCCACCAATCTTTCCTTCCCTCTTATCAAGAAATAGGCTTAAGTACTGGGATAGGAAGTGGTCACTTTCAAAGGCTCTGCCCAGACCACCATGACCCTGCCTGGGTCCCAGTGGCCATATCGTCCGGTGCGGTCAACCTCAAGTTTTAGTTGACTGGGCCAGAGTTGGGCATCTGAGACAAGTAGATTCATTTCCACAGGAAATTTGAATTGATAGCAAGAGTTTCTGTTCTGTATGTGACACACCATTCCCTCCACTTGGCACTCAGACCAGAAGCAGAAGTGTGGAAAGGAGGAAAAGAGGCGAAGGAGCACAGAGAGACACAGAAGCAGGGAGACTGCACAGCATTGCCTGCGCAACCCCAGTCCTCCTTGAACCAGTTCATAACTTTGTTCTTAGAAAAAATGCCTTCCTTTGGCTTGAACTAAATTCAGTTGGATTTTTTGTTCGCAATTTTTTTTTAAAAAAAGGGCCTTTCTAAACTCCTTGGCTGAGTATGTCCAGGTGTGGCCTCTGTACTGGATTGTTTGCTCACTGTTGCATAACTGACTTAAATTTAGAAGCTTCCAGGAATTAGGGACTTTTTTCAGTAACGGGAAAAGATCTTAGCAGAGAGCCTGAGCTATGTGCTGTTGGAAGTTGTGGCATTGTTTTCAGACACGCTGTCTTATATAAGAGGTGTGGCAGCCGGAGCGTTGGGAAGAGGGTGGGGTCTTGGGGGTCTCATTCAGGAGGGAATAGAAAGGGCAGTTCTCCTGGCCTCTGGGAATAAACGAGAGAGTGGTTGCTTTCCTGTCTGGGAGAGGCATATTTGTTTCCCCCTCCTATGAGTCTGTGATTCATTCATTCATTCATTCCAATTTCTTAAGCACAGGTGCCATTCAAATCACTTTTGTAGCAGTGTATTAATAAAAACAGCTACTACACGGAGGCTTTTGGCCTAATAATTCATAGGCCAAAAATATAAGCTTTGGGGTCAGATGACCTTTTTCATGACCGAGCTGTAGCACTGATACCATCCATGGCCTTGTGCAAGTCCCCTCCCCTCTCTGTATCTTGGTTTGCATATCTGTAAAATGAGGAGGAGGATTTGACTAGATTGTCTCTGAGGCAGAGAGGGGAAAGAACACTCTTGGAACTGCTAGGCAAGAAGAGGATTAGGGATGGATTTGAGCATGGCTGGACACACTCTATGCCTGAGATTTCAGACGGAATTAGGGTTATGAAGATGGAAACCCCTCCCATGGGCCAAGAGACAGTCATAGAAAGAGATCCTGCATGTACAAGAATGAGGGGAAGTCTACCAATGTAAGGTCGCACAGTCTGGATAGGGACGCAGATGACCTGCCAGCTTCCAGGGCTCAAGCCTTGAAGCAAGAGGCAGCCACCAAGACCTCCTAGCTCTGGCCACAGCTCACGTTGGCTGTAGGATTCTGGGGCTCAGGGAGAGGGCCTGAACAGGAATATACATCTAGGAGCCATCAGTAGAAGGAATCCGAAGCCATGTACAGAATGAGCTCCCTCCTGGAGTGATGGTAAGAAGAGAAGAGGTCTGGGAGTTAAAGCTCCAGCACGTCACCATTAAGTGGTCAAGAAGAGGAGAGACTAGTAAAAGAGGTTGATAAGGGGCAGCCATGAAGATAATAGCAAGTGAGAGTGGTGTCCTGGAAGCCAAGAAGAGGAAGAGTGACAGAGGAGGGAGTGACCAGCTGGGTTAAATGTGGAGGGGGAAGGCTGAGGAGGAGCCATTGGATTTTTCGACAAGGAAGTCTTAGAGAGCTAATTTCATCCTTTGCAACTGGAAAAACAGGCTGGCTCCTTCTTCCTCTGACAGGTGTGCAAGTGTGTGAAGACAGTTTCATATTTTATTCTGAGAGAGGCATTCCATAGGAGCCCTACCTCTGGCTTCAACCTATGGCTCTGTGGAGAAGCCCTGGCCAGGAGAGGCGTCAGCTTTTATTGCGATGTTGGCAGCACACAGGTCTGAGACCTGACTCACTGGCCAGGCTCCTGGGTCACACACTGCCCACCCTCCCCAGGTGGCTCAGAACTCGCAGATTACAAGGCGCTGCTCGCTGCAGGACTTGTCATTCCACTTGCCGTTTGTGTAGATCTCCACACAGTTTTCTGCCCCACCGTTGTTGTTGGGCTCCCCTGGGGCCCAGTTGGAATAGACCAGGGACTCCCCTGTGGGGTAGGTGAAGTTCCCCTCGGTCTTGATGTCGTTCATGCTCAGGAACGCAGCCTTGTTCTGAGTGACGACCAGCTGTTGCAAGGCTTCATTCTCAGCTGCAGAGCGTGGGGAGGCCAACTGTCCCCCGGCCTGCGTGCATATCTGCTGTGCATCCTCAAAAGTTTTTTCAAAGCCTCCTGTCTTGAAGATCTTCTCCCCAACACCTTGGCCATTGGGGAAGAGCACCACTAAGAGAAGGGGAGAATCAGGTAGGGGTTGTGGCAACATCTGGTCTAAAGCTCAGGGGCTCCAACTGAAGCCCCCAGGCCTCCCATATGGGGTATCAGGGCACCAGGTAGAACAAAAACACTTGGTTCCAGAGCAGACCCAGATCCACAATGAGTCTTGTGAAGTGGTACTGGGGTCTCTAGTTACAGATGAGAACACTGGACTCAGAGAGGTTAAGAGGTCTAATGTCACATAATCATCAAATGTAAAATTAGGGATTAAACCTTGTTGGATCTGACACTAAAGCTTAGACCTGCTCTTTCTATTTCACCCCATGTTGCATGCAAGAATCTGTTTTACAATTATTGTGTATTTGGACCAACTTTGGACAGAGAAATGGTGCCATGCAGGCCAGGACAGTCTCTGAGAGTAGGGACAACACAGTGAAAGTGCTCACTCTAATCTCTCTGAACCCTGCATAACATCAGAGTGTGTCAGGTTGTCAGGGAAGGTCTGTGCTATGTGCAGGGTGAGGGAAAAAAGAAGAGAGGATGGGCCACCTGAGAGCAGCAATGTGCTAATCTCTGCACTGGGTACAGCCTAACGATGGCCTCTTGGTGGGTAGTGCCTTTGCCCGTCACCCTCCTCCAGAGTGCTGGGTGAGGAGATGAAGACATCCAAGAGGTGTGTGTGGGAGTCGGGGGCAAGGGCAGGATTGGTGCTAGAGAGAGCCCTGTCTGGGAATCAAGGCTGATGTTCAGCCCTACCCTAACAATGACCATCCAAGTAGGCCAGAGAAAGTCACTTCCCTTTTCAGGGTTTCCAATTTCTCATTTCTAAAGTGGAGTTAAACTTTATAAAAGCATCATCTGTGTGATGTGACATGTCAACTATCTCATTTTATTCCATCTCATCCCCCATCCTTTTGACTTTTGGACTCGTGCATGAAAATCTTCAGGACTCCAAAGAAGGCTGTGCCCCAGCCTCACGGAGCTGGTTAGGAGCCTGGGATACACCCTGACCCACTTCCCTTCTCCTCTGAGTATTTTCAACAAGGGCTCGGGGAGAAGATTCTCCACAAGCTCAGAATGGCACCAAAACAGTCATAGACGAGGTCAGTGCAAGAGTTCATGTGCCATTACTGGGCTTATGTCCATGCATCTGGGTGGATACACATGTGCATACATGAAAATGTCCATGTGTTCATCTGAAGGTACATGGGAGCACTTAAGGTCCATCTGGATGTGTGTGAATATTTTGTATGTGCCTGCATATGTGTGTGTGCTCGTGTGAAGTGATTGACGGTATACAACTACACATGTGGCAGGTGCATATGAACAAATTTTCCTTTGCACCAGTGTGTATATGAGTGAGTGCATACGTATGCAAATATGTTTGTGGAGGGAGGAAGACATACCAAATGTTTGAAACTCCTATTATCCTTGGTACTTAAGTACTTAGTCGGCTTAGTTGGATACTTAGAAGTCAACCCAATCTCATCCAATCAGCCCCTTTATGCTTTCCTCCTTCAGAAAACTCTTCTTGTTTTTTTTTTCTTTTCTTTTCTTTTTTTTTTTTTTTTTTGCCTAACTTCTCTGTCTAGGCCTTCCAGTACTATGTTGAACAAAAGTGTGAACTTAGAGAGAAATTTTTTTTTTCTTTTTTTTTTTTTTTTTTTTTTTATCAATGAGAATTGGTGAATAACATGGACTCAAATCTTACACCAGTGAGAGCAGAGAAGGAGGGGCAGTTAGGGACTGAGGCAGAGAGTTCCCATGGCACAGGGCATCGGGTGTGTGCTCTTGGAGGACTCTGACTCCTCAGCATTCCAGAGTTAGGGAAGAATCTCTGATTTGAATGCCCAGGACTGATGGGAACCCAGAGGCACCTCGCCCCTGCCAGATCCAGGGCATATCTCGGGTGAGATTCTCAGTCACAGGCCAAGGTCAGGCCCCCCACCAGTCTTGAACCCCAAGGCCAGCATTTCAGCCCAGCTCTCAGAGCAGTGTCTGGAGTCTATACTGCTATGAATTGAGCAGCTACATCTCTGGATACTCACACACCTGGCCTCACAGAACTAAGAAATGCATCCTGGGTGCTTGGGTGTCCCCATGTCTGTCACAGAGACCAGCACAGAGTTGATGGGAGTGAAAGTGTGCTGAACTGCACTGGGCTCGGGGCATTGATCTGGCTCGGGTCACAGGTGGCTGTGATATTGGGGGTGTTCTAAAGCCTGGTAGGCTCAACTATGCTTCCACCAGCCCACTGAATTGGTAAGAGGGGCCACATCCTGCTACTTGCCCCTTGCATATACTTTCAGGTCCTAGAGCATGTAGCTGTACTAATCTGTCCCAGCCCTATCCTTAGCCCCAGCCGCAGGCCCAGACCTAAACATGGTCTCAAGCCATTATAATCCTAGACCTAGCCCCAGCCAACTCCCAACCAAGGCATGGACTCAGTCTGGGGCTAAGCCTCAATGCCTGGCTCGGATTCAGGTCCAGGAACTCACCTTTCTTATACTGAGAGAAGGCATGCTGGAGGCTTTGTAGCTGTGTCTGTAAGGCCTCCACCTGCCGCCTCAACGCAGTGATGTCTGCAGGAAAGAGACCAAGTAAAGACTAGCCCAGCATAGCCAGGGATCAGCCCTGAGCCTGGGCCTCAAGGGAGGGTGCCCAGTTGCAGGCTCATATTGGGGATGGGGATAAGGAGCTGAGACTGACCCTCAGGAAGCCCACATCTGCTGAAACAACTGGCTCCTGCTGCCCACGAGATTTCCTGTGGTTCCACTGTGAACAAACTGCCCTTTGAGCAGGTCCTAGCATCCCACTGACACTGACCCAGATGACATTTTCACTCCAAACTCTGAGAATCTGATAGCACTTCCTTTGGGAGGTTGAGAGGAACAGGAATACATATTCCTCAAGAACTTCCCACCCATTAGGGTATTTGATACTTGAAGCTATTCAATTAATTGGGAAGGGAGCTGTGCTTGTCCCAATGATCAGATGGAAAAACTGCTCAGGGCTGCCCTCCACAGAGCAATGAAGTCTAAAACCAGAACCTGATTGTCCTGCCTTCCAGTCTGTTAGCCTTTCCTGCTTTTTACCCACTCCCATAATTAATGGGGCCGAGAAAGGAGAGAAGGGGCTGTCTTGAGCTAAAGAGGGCCCTCTTCATCCTTTCCCTCCCCACCCTATTGCAGGCTCCCAGAGCTAGAGGAAGCTAACTTACCTGGAAGCCCACTCTCTCCCTTTGCACCTCTGTCCCCAGGAGCACCTCTGTCCCCTTTCAGTCCTGGAGGCCCCCTGGCACCTGGAGGTCCCTGTGGACCCATGGTTCCAGCAGGCCCTAAGATCAGAGAAGAAGAATTGGGTGAACTCTGTACACATTTTCCAGTATTTTCACCTTCCCCATATATGGACTGTGCTATTGCCCAACAATATACCCTCCCCACATACAGTCTGTTTCTAGAACCCAGCCATGCACCTCTCCGTACACTGACCATCCCCATCACCCAACAACCAACCTTCCCTTTATACAGACTAATCCTGTTGCTTACATCTCACTCTCCATAGATACAGACAGTTCCTCAAGCCCATGATGCACCCTCCTTGCATATAGGCTCACCCCAATGCCCAGTAATGCCATCTCTGACATGATGGAGGGAGTGATGTTGGAGGGGTAGGCATTAGCAACTTCAGGGGCACACAGCAGAACTGAAACCCCATCCTAGTGTCTTCCATCACTCACCTGCTGCCCCTGCATTTCCAGGGGCTCCACGCTCACCAGGGCTACCTCTCTCTCCCTTAAGACCTGTGGGACCTCTTATCCCTGCAGATCCCTGCGTGCCTGGGGCACCCACTTCACCTGAGGAAGAAACAAATTGGGACAAATGTGGCTGAGTGTGGATCATCTATATCATTCCCTCAGTAGAAGCTTTTCATGCACGGCTTCAAGGTGAGAGAGAGAACTGGGGAGACTGTGCTCCTTACTGCCTGGGGCTACTCCATGGAGGCTAATGAAGGAATGTGGGAGGAAGGGGGCACAGCAAGGCTTACCCAGTGCTGACGGTCTGGGTTTTTCCTGGCACTCTAAGCATGCCTTAGGTCATATCATGGATTGCCATTGTCATTTCTCCCTTATCCTCTCAGACAAGCCACATACCAACCACCTACCTTTGGGCCCAGCCTCTCCTTTTGGACCCGGTTTGCCTTGAGGTCCTATGCTCCCCTGAATCCCCGAGGGACCCTCTCTTCCAGCTGGACCAGGTATACCTGGAGGTCCTGGAGGTCCTGGGGGAAAAGACCAGCCCAATCAGTGACACTAAATCTTCTTGGAAGTGGGAGTACATTAAAAGATAAGAGCAATAATAGAAGTCAGAGAAGCAATAATATAAGTACCATCTTAAAGATGAAGCCCAACAGTAGTTTCAGCCATCCCTGAAATAATCCAGTGCCACCTTCAGCACAACCTTCTTCCTTCTTCCTGGGATGAGATCTGTGTATGCCTACTGGCATATCCTAGTGGCAGCAGCGCCACTTGCAGACATTGTATTCCATGCCCAGCTGCTCACCTTTTGGTCCAGTGTCTCCCTTTGGTCCAGGTTCTCCAGCAGAGCCATTGTCCCCTTTGAGCCCAACTGGGCCAGCTGGTCCAGGCATCCCCATTCTCCCTATGGCTCCTGGCAAACCTGTAGCAGCAGGAGAAATGGGCATACACCTGGCCCTAGGCCCAGGAGGATCCAGCACCTGCAGGGTAAGGCCCTTGGCACTCCTTCAGGGTTCTACAGGATATAGACATTCCACCTCCCACTCCTCGGTCCAGTGGTACTTCAAAAAATGGGTGTCCACATCCCTATTTTACAGGTGAGGAAACAGGCCTGCCAGAGTTGGAGGCAGATTCAAGCCTCTACTTGTCTAACTTTTCATGCAATGCACCTTCCCCTGCCCCAAGGCCTCAGCATTTAGGGCAGGCAATCTGTCAGTATTTACCCTTGATCATGGACCCTTTGCTCTCCCCTTTCCAGAACCAAATTTTTTATCAGAAGTGACACCTGACACTAATCATCAGGAAAATGTAAATCCAACCCACCAGGTATCACCTCACACCTGTCAGAATGGCTCTTATCAAAAAGATAGATAACAAGTGTTGGCAAGAATGTGAAGAAAAAGGAGCCCTTGTGTACTGTTGGTGGGAACGTAAAATGGTGCAGCCACCGTGAAGAACAGTGTGGAATTTCTTCAAAGAATTAAAAATAGATCTACCATCTGATCCAGCAATTCCACTTCTGGGTATTTATCTCAAGGAAATGAAAACACTAATTTGAAAAAATATCTGCACCCTCATGTTCATTGTAGTATTATTTATGGTAGCCAAGAGATAGGAAAAAAAACCTAAGTGTCCATGATGGATGAATGGATAAAGAAGATGTGATTGAGATATATATAATATATATATGATATAATATATATATTTTATATATATATATATATATATATATATAAACACACACACACACACAATGGAAAATTATTCACCCATAAAAAGAAAATCCTGCCCTTTGCGACATGGGTAAATCCTGAGGGCATTATGCTAGGTGAAATAAGTTAGACAAATAAAGACAAATAGTGTATGATCTCACTTATATGTGGATTCTAAAAAACAAAACAAAAAATCCCAACTCATAGATACAGAGATTAGATTATTGGTGGTTACAAGAGGTGAGAGCTAGTGGGCAAAATGGATGACAATGGTCAAAAGGTACAAATTTCCATTTATAAAATAAATAAGTCCTGGGTATTTAATATTCAGAATGGCGTATTGTATATTTGAAAATTGCTAACAGCATACATCTTAAAAGTTCTCATCACGAGGAAAAATATGTTGTAACTATGAGTGATGAATGTTGACTACACTTACTGTGGTGATCATTTCACAATAAATACAAATATTGAATCATTATGTTGTATACCCGAAGCTAATATAATGTTACATATCAATTATATCTCAATAAATAAAATAGCAAAGCTATGTAACATTCTCTTGAAACTATAAAAAACAGACTGAATTATTATCTAATGTATCATGAAGTGGTAAAAGTATGTTATAAATATTATGTTCAATATAATTCTGTTTCATAAATATGTACTCACATTGTAGAATGTGTGCACATGTAATACACATTAGAAAAATCACAGGAAAGTCATAAGTGTTAACAGTTGTTTTTTCTAAGTGGCACGATTACAGTAATTTTAATTTTCTTCTTTTACTTTATGTTTAGTGACTACACATTCTTTTTCTATTGGAAAAGTAACCAAACATTTTTTAAAAAGACATGTTACCTCATGCAAGGCTGCCTAAGCCTGAAATTACATAAGATTTACCCAAAAAGACTAAAAGGAACGAATGGTTAATAATATTTTAAGAATTTTATACCCAATTCTGTGTCTGGTTATTCTTTTTTTAACTGAGGTGAAATTCATATAATATAAAATTAACCTTTTTAAAGTAAACAATTCAGTGGTATTTAGCACCTTCACAATGTTGTGCAACTACCACCTCTATTTAGTTCAAAAACATTTCATCGCTCTCAAAGAAAACCTCATCGCAATTTAGCAATTGTTTTCTATTCTGCCCCTTCCCACTCCCCACCCCCACCCCCGCCCGGCCACTGGCTACCACTATTCTGTTTTCAGTCTCTGTCACCAAGTCGGGATATATTATATCAAAGGAATCATACAATATATGACCTTTTGTGTCTGACTTTTTAAACTTGGAGTGATGTTCTTGAGGTTTATCCACTTTGTAGCATGTCTCAGTGCTTCATTCCTTTGCATAGCTGAACAATGAACCACTGCATGGATGGACCACATTTTGTTTAGCCATTCATCAGTTGATGGACATTGGTGTTGCTTCTATCTTTTGGTTGTTGTAACTAAAGCTGCTATAAACACCTTTAGTTACAATAATGTGCAAAAAGGAAAAAAATACTGCCAACTTGTTCATTCACTTATTTGTCCACTTCCTCAATATTTCATTTATTTGTCCACTAAAAAACGAACTATCAAACATAACTTTATGCTTAGCACTGGACGAGTTGCAAATGTTAGCACGAGGTCCTGTTCTGCAAGGGTTTTGTAGCAGAATGTTAAACTGTGAGTCACTGGTCATGAGAGGAGAGGTGACATTTCAGATTTGGAAACCATGTTCCCAAGGCAGGAGGGGCCAGGTCTGCCTGGGGTAGGAATGTGCTGGCAGTGGAGGACTGCCATCTTTGAGAGGCTCTGTGCTGGGCATTGTATCCTGCTTTTAGGTACGACCCTCACTAAGAATGAAATCGAAGCACCAAGGGTTATAAGATGAGTCCCACATCCCATATCCAACAGTACAATATGTTAGGGGCAGAGATACCCTGACCCCAGGCTGAGCCTCTCTTGGGCTCTACCCTGGCCAGGATGGCAGCAGGTAGATAGACCAAGGGAGAAAGTCACTCCCTAAAAGGGAGTGTAAGAGGTTGCCCATCCTTGGTGCACCACCGTGGAGGCCGTGAGAGCAGAGGTGTAGGAAGGGGCACCCTCAACCGCAAGCACCCATGCCTCCCAAAGCACTAATTTTGCATCCTGGTATCCCCCTGAAAGACCTTAGCCTGAACCCAATGACACCTGAAGTGAAGCTTATGGATGAGCAGTTTGGCCAGCCTTAACTGCACTAAATTTCCTCCTCTCCTTGCATCTCACATTCCTTCATTCCATGATTATTTGTTGAGCTTCTACTACATACAAGGCACTGTCATAAACACTGGGATATAGTAGTGAGAGAAAGACAACAAATCAAATCCTTTCCTCATGAAGTTGAAACTCAACTGCATAGAAACATAATAAAAATTAAAATGTACATTATATGGTTTATTAGATTAGAAGAAGTGTCACAGAGGAAATAAAGCACAGAGAGTGTAGGCCAGAGTGTCTTCTAAGTGGGGTGGTCAGAGGAGGACTCATTGAGCAGGCAGTCTGTGAGTAAAGTCAGGAAAATGAGGAATGAGCACAGCGATCTCTATGGAAAGAGCAGTGGCAGGGCCCTGAGCAGGCAGCAGCCTGAGTGTGGTGAGGGACCGGGGAGAAGCCAGTGTGGAAAGGAGAAGGAAGTAAGATCTAAGAAATCAGCAGGTGTAGAGAGGGGCCTTGTGGGCTGCTGTGAAGTGTGTGGCTTTACTCCTGTGGAGATGCACGCCCTCCTCTAACTAAATTCTTCTGGGCAGGAATCTTGGAGGTGCTGCAGACTAAGGGAATTATCCCTGGAAATACGACCCCTCAAAGCAGGGTCCACCGCAGTGTCCATGGCACCCTCATCCACCTCTCTCAAGAATCTCTCATCTTAGGTCCATCTTGTCTTTTACAGTATGTTCTTGGGACCACGTTTCAGAATCTGCAGGGGCAGTTGTCACAAGTACAGACTCTCCTACCCAGACCAACTTGGGTAAAGATTCTGCAGAGGTCCAAGCTCTCCAGAAAATTCTCAGACCCAAAACAATATAGTGACTAAAAGGCCTAGAATTGAGGAGCCAGTGTGGAGCCTGGTCCCCTGGCCCAACTATGTGCTGTTCTCTCTCCAAGCACCAACTCAAAGCCAGGCTTGGAATGCACATGGGGTGAGGCGCCTGCATGAGAAAGGGAGGTCTCAGTCACACTCCATGTCCAAGGGCCACTGTAAGAAAGGATGCCCTCCCTAGGATTCAATTCAGGCCCCCCTCCCCCGGGGGCTGGAGAGAGCTGGAATTCTCCAAGAGAGAGTTGGCACCTTGAATACCACCCTTCTTCTGAGTGCCCTTTCAGGTGGCCTTCCCAAGCCCCAGCCCGTTTCATTGGGAGCCACTTTCTGTCTTTAAAAGACAGATGCTTACTTGCCCCTCAATCTACAAAGCCTGGCAATGTTACCTATTCTTTTGAGCTTCAGTGTTGTTAGTTTTCTTCCTCCTCCAACCAAAATGCAAATTCCAGAAAGATAAAGACCACAGCTGCTCCCTCCACAGCCCCAACCCAGTGCCATGGTGGTCCCTTCATCCCTATTGCTGAATAATTGAATTCTTCCTTTGTGCCAATCAGACCCAGATACTCCCCTATGGGACAGTATTTCTTTGATAAACCCTTAATAATAGTACCTTTGGAAAGCTCAGGAGAATTCACCTGATGGGTAAAGCAGGAAGAAGCAACTTTATCCTGAAGACTCGACAAAAATAAAGCCATGGCTCAATTATTTGTCACTGTGTGGTAGATATTATTCCCACCTACAGATGAGCAAACTGAGACTCAGGGACACTGAGAGCTTGTCCCAGAGGGGTTCCTGCTGTGGAGATGGAGCTAGCAATCAAGCAAGGATCTGTCTGACACAGAAACCTACATCTTTTTCGCCTTCTAGTTTGGGTGTCATTTAGTCTCCCTGCATATAATTCTATTACCTGTCAAATGAGATTAATACGTCCCTTAGAAGGAGGAGTAAATGAATTACTCAAATGAACACCGAAGATCAAGGCTTGACAAAAAAATTGTGAGCTCCCTTTCCTTTTCTCCATAATGTATTTAGGACAAACCCTTTTGATCAGGCTTGAGTACAAGACCACAGAGCATCATCCTTTCCTACCCTTCATGCAGTAGAGTTTATTAGATACTAAAAATATTTAACACCCTGCACAGGCACCATTTAATCAGAATATACAACTGCTAAGTGCCAGATCATGGTTCTAGAGGGCCCCAAATACCAGTCATTTACTCATCCTTGGGACGAGGGGGAGGAATCAGAAGATCCTAGGGGAGGAATCAGGACAGTTGGGTGATGGAGAGAGGCACCTGGGGATTCAGGGCAGCCAGTCATTTGTCAACTGTTAAAGTGGTGTTTTAGGTAGACTGAATGTCTGAGGAACTTCTCCGTCCCAAGAAGTGGGTTTCCATCTCCAAGGCTTCTGCAGCAGAATACCCAGAATTGCTGGGTTGGTTACAATTCCAATACCTATCCCTTCCCACCAAGATAAGACCATGATCCCAACTCTACCTGGATCCCCCTTCTCTCCCCGGGGGCCCTCTCTCCCATCCCGTCCATCACGACCAGGCAGGCCATTCTCCGTGGGGCTACACATGACCAGGGTACAGGCATTGGTCACTGATCTCCGGGAGTAGGCCTTCACTTCTGCTCCCAGTGACTTCAGAGGCTGTGTGAGCAGGATCAACACAATGACAGGGAGGAGAATCATGGCCTAAGCAGATGAATAGAAAGAGAAAGGTCAAAATCTTGGTTGTAGAACATGGGTTAGGACCCGGCCCAGCTCCTGGAGGTCAGAAAAGGCACTTCCCCTACCTCCTCTCCCCTCCTGTAGGGCTGACAGCAGCAGGACTCTAAAAGCAGTTTAGGGACAAGTTGAGCATTCACTCTGACCTGGGAGGTCAGTTACCTAGCCAGAACTCTGATATGGGTTGACAGCAGCATCTACCTATTCTCAGATGCCCCATTTTGACCCTTCTAGACTTCTTTTGGACACTGCCATCAGCACTGTAGCTAGAATATAGAATTCCTCATGGAGGCCACCTGTCACATCAGGAAGGATTCACTGAGTGTCTTTGGGCAAGACCTTTCCCCTCTGTGAACCTCCTTCTCCCTGTCTGTACCATTAAGCTGGTTGGCTCAGCTCCAACAAGACAAACCCATTTCCTCTCATTTGTTAACTTAGATGGACTAACCCTGGTGATCTGCAGTGCTGGTCTGAAAAGGAGCCAGAGTCTCGAAAGCTTTGTAACGTTTGTCCTGAGCACAAGATGGGTACATGGCTGCATGTTTGCCAGGTGATGTCATCCTGGAGCTGTCTCCATGAAGAAAGTTCCAGATGGAACCAAGGTGAAAGTTCTCAGAGATACTAAATTAGCAGCTGGTGAGATCTTGAGACATCTAGAGTCCATCCCAGACCACCTGAGAGGACTTGGAAGAGGGGCCTCATGGAGGAAGGGGCATGTGAGATGGGCTCAGTCAAAGGAAGGGTAATTGTGGGGATAGGAAAGAACCGAGGTCCAATAGGGCATCCAGTTATGATCTGAGAGGGACTTTGGAACTAACTGAAATTGGTAGATGTGGAACCTGGACACTCCCAATGTTGGCCTCTTTCCTCTCTGAGAGGAACTGTTAAGTTATAAGCATGGAAAGAGCTCACAGGAGTTGCAGAGGCTGGGAGCAAAGCCTGAGAAACCTGTGCAAAGGAGAAGGGGATCACCTGGCAGGCCTAGGTAGTGGCAGGGGAGGGACTTCCTGAACAGAGAAGTGCCTTCTTCTCCAGTTTCCAGTGATTCTGGGCTGTCAAGGACCCTATTTTGCACTAGCCTCTTTTCCTTTTGGATGTACTACTCCTTTAGGCATCCTGGCAGTCTCTAGAAACACCTAGGCAAACTCACAGGCTAGCAGCAGCTGCTTCACTGCACTTGCTGTGGCAGAGGCTCGGTCATGAGCACTGAAGAATCCAGGCCAGAGCAAGAGCATTGTCCCCTGGTCTGCAGCTGCCTCTTTTTTGGGGACCTGCACCCAAATCTAGGGAAGAACAAAAAGCAATAGGCATTCTTCCCAACAGTTCAAGATAGCACAGAAGACACCACAGCCCATTGTAGCAGGCAGGGGCCTTGGAAAGAGCTAACTCATGGGTTTTCAGATCTATAATTCAGATGAGGCCATTTAGTTGGGGCTACAGAGGGAGTGAGTAGAGCCACGGCCCCTTCAAACCATATAGTGTTCAGTTTATGCAAGATTTCAGACTAAGATGTTATTGGAAAAAATGACTCCTCTGAAAATTGGTTGGAAATCAGCTACCTAGTCAAGTATATTTTTTAAGTAAAGATTTGAGGCTGAGAGAGAAGCATGTTTATCCATGTCCCACAGGCAGTTGCTACCAAGACGGGCTTAGAACACAGGCTTATGAATGCCTGGTCTGTTTCTCCTCCACCTCCCTTCTTTCTGAAGAAATCAGAGATAGAGGAGAGCCAAGAGAGAAGACAGAACTGCATTTTCCACTGAGACGTCCAGACAATGGCATCTGGGGTCTGGGTGGATGTTACATCCCACTTACTCACCCTACTTCAGCCCAGAAAGCAAATCTCCCACTGAGCAAAGGAAGAGGAGTGAGGGGTAGAAGAACATTTCTTATTATCCCACTATGCTCCCCACATCTCACACCCACACCTCCTAGACCAGAACTACATAGACCCTGCCTTCCTAAATACCAGTATACCACCTAAAATGGGGAGGAGGATATACACTGGACATTGACAAAACAAAATGAGAAGCAAGGACAGAAACACTCACGGTTGTTTTCTCTAGGACACCAGGATCTCCAGGCAAGCTAGACTTTCCTTGGCACACAATGGCTATTTATGGTGCCCTGTAACCTGAGCCGCCCAGTCCTGGTCTCCTGAGAACTCTTTAAGAAGGGGCAGTTTTCTTCCTTGTTGACTCACTCACTCTCACCCCCACCGGGGTTCTGGAAACCTGCCACTGATATTCCTAACACTACACACATATCACCTTAGAGCACCCCCAGTCTACAATCTCATCTGTACCTCACTGCAGCCCTGTGAGATAAGCAGCATCATTGATGCCTGGATTTTACAGATATCCAGGAACCCAAGGTCCAAAGAAGACCATTGTGCCCACTTCTCTTCTTCCTTCACCTCTTTAGTACCCAGATACTGGGAAAGACCTGGGAGCTGTTTGGTATTTCCAGGCAGGAGTGGGGCAGGTAGAGGGGCTGCAGAGGCAGCAGCCTGTGGGAGCAGCCTATAGCAGGGGGAGCTACTACCTGGGAAGGGTCACTCTGTTGCTTCTTGCTCTAGATCTTGGAGAGCTCCCACTTGCCTTTTGTGGGATGGGCTTCCCTTAACTTCCTTGTCTTCATCTCTCCACTTTCTTAGCTGGTGTTTGTCCTGTGCTAGTGACCAGTTTGGACCACTGAGCCGCTAATACACTGTTGCAGTCATTTCCAAGGAAACTAACTTCCAGTGACTGTGAGGCAGTTGCCCACCCTACTGCTGTTGCTATCATCTCTGCTTGCGTCTAGATCTCTGAGACTTCATCTCTTGCGTCAACACTTTGCTCAGGTCCACATACCAGCAATCCCCTGTCTCCAAACCTTTTTTTTTTTTTTTTGGCCATCCCATTGGTGGTGCTTACTTGATCCTAGCTTTTTATGCTTCTTGGGACAGCTCCTTATATACTGTAGAATGTATAATGCCAGATTTCCTCAGCTGGTAGGAAAAGGTCTTTTGTTCCCTATATTGTAATTTTTGAAGCAGGATCACATAGTAGAGCTACTTGGGCCCTATGATAAAGCTATTTCATTATTAACACACAGCCTTTCCCAATCGAGAATGTTTATGTACCTCCTAGAGATATAGTTCAGCATGTAGGCTGAATTGAACCATGGTTCTCCGCTCCTCACAAAGCCTACTCATCAGGTCTTATCCTGGTAGCTAGACAAACTCCTTATTTATAGTGACTTTTTATTTCAGAAGCCCTATTCTTTCTCTCTCTTTGCAAGTTGGTTTCCATTAACTGCCACTCCCTACCTGTTAAGCACAATGCCCTGGGGCCCCATTATAACACATAATATGATGTTTCCTCTAACTCCCCACTTCAACGGAGTCTAATTTTATTTATGACCCATCCCACACTCATGTTACAGTGATAACCTCTGCTTTCCTCAGTAACACCAACACAGGTGAAAAGAATCAGATCTTAAATGGTGATCACAGTGCCTTTCATGCACCGGAACACCTTATCTTCCCAAGACAAGGTCCAGGATGGCCACGTGGTTTCTCTGGGAGCTGGCCACTGATGCGGTACTGCAGCCTCAGTGATACCCGCAGACCATGGTGGACTTCATTAGCTACACTCCTGTCAGAGCCACTCTGTAGCCTCTGATATTTGGCTTATCAGCTGCTTGCCCACCTCACTGTTGAAAACTCCCAGCTAAGTGGGCCCATGCCATTATATGTTTCCTCACTGCTAGACCATAAGGGGAACTTTGGATGCTAGTAGACATTCAAAACAAAAGTTCTAGACTTTCCACAATAGCTTAATTTACTTTTGTTTGACCTTGCTTCCTGGCTCCAAACACTTGGCGCATGACCTTGACTTCATTTCTTGTTCCATGAGTACCACAATATTGTTCTCAGTTACTCTCCCTGATATTTGGACCTTGATTCTTCTGTTTCTGGCTTGGTACTTTCCTCTGACTTCTGAGCTTATTTTATTTTCTTGGAGAATTTCTGGTCTCTATTTGGGGCCCAGACTATAGACCTGAAACCCACTATAGATCTTTACCTAATTTTGAACTGAACCAGCACATCAAGCTGTGTGCTTAATGACTGGGTAAAGGAGTGGGAATAGATAGATATATGGCATGATGGGAACCCATCCAGCTTGACTTCTTGGGGATAGAGACATCTCAATCTATTCTAAAACCAACAACTACATTAACACTGATCCACTCCTTTTTACTACCCTTGAAGTAAATTCTGCTGAATTGCATACTTAACATATCCATTTCTTATCTCCTTTCTATCAGAGAGTCTCCAACAATTCCAGTCGAAGATGACTATGCCTCCTCATTTTCAGTCACTTTATGCTATCTTCTTTTGTGAAGTGTTCTCATGTTCTTTCCCTGCCTCCTCAGAGAGTCAACAAGGTCATTTTTTAAGCCACTTCCTTGAGTATGACTGATATATAAAAAGCTGTGCATATTTAATATAAACAACTTAATGACCTTGGAATAAGTATATACCTGTAAAACCATTCTGACGATCAAAGCCATAAACTTATCCATCATCTCCAAAAGTTTCCTCCTGTTCCTTATTTTTTTATTTTGATGTTTCTATGGTAAGAGCATTTAACATAAGATTTCCTTCTTAGCAAATTTTTAACTATACAATAGAGTATTATTAACTATAAGCCCTACACCATACAGCAGATCTCCAGAACTAATTGATCTTGCATAACTGAAACTTTGAACCCTTTGAACAACACCTCGGTCTTTCCTTCTCCGCACAGCCCATGAACCACTATCCCATTCTCTGGTTTTATAAATTTGACTACTATAGATTTATCATAAAAGTGTATCAGAAAGCACTTATCCTTCTGTGTCCTCCAGTTCCATTCATATTTATTATGTAAATGGCAGAATTGTCTTCCCTTTTTAAACCTGAATAATCTTCCATTGTA